ATAGAGGCTTGAAACTTTCAAATTATATGTAAAATTTTGAGCTGAACAAATTTATTTAAGCTGCCAAAGGCAGTTATATTAATAAAATAATGTGTTATTAACAATTTTTGACTGGCAAATTTTTAGTTAAATTTTGTGTAAGTAATTGACAAAAAGAATTTCCTCGCCGTCAGAGTCTTTTTTTTTATTAAAAGAAGCAAGTTCTAATAAAAAATGTTCTTTAGCACGTAAACCAAGACAAAGTGCATTAAAAAAAAAAACTCTATTTAATAATCCATTAAGATTAAACTTTGACGTTTGAAAATGCAACAGAATTTGTTAAACTTCATCGATCGTTAAAGCATCAGATCCATTTGCTTCCCCATATCCACTTGCAGACAATGTTTTAATTTTTCTATTCAATATACACCAAAGATCAGGGTGTGCTTTTTTATTATTCAAATCAATCAGTTTTATTTCACCATTAAAGTATTGATTAAATGCATTAATTGCAGATTGGAGAGATGCGACAGAATATTCATCACTATTAGCTTTACGACATACAGTAAAGTATTTACAGAGCTCTTCTTCAAGCTGCTTTGGATTTGAAATATCAGATAGTTCACCATGAAGGTTAGTATCTTTGCGATATTTTTCAAACTGACTTGTCTAATTCAAAGTAGACCGATGTGTATTTTCTACAACAGACTTTTTTTGTAGTGATGTGATTTCTTTCAGCATAGGCTCCACATATGTAAATCTTTTTTAAAAAAAGTTTAATACATATATAAATAGTAATATTTGTAAATACAAATAACAGTAAATAAATAGACAGCAAGTGAACCTTTTGTTTGTCTTTAGGAATAGTATTTTTTTTTTTTAAAAAAAATCTCCTATTTTTTTATTTTAAGAAGTATACTGTTTATAAAAGTGGAAGAAAAAGATGACGAAACCACGAAAGAAATTCTTATTTATAGTATACTATTAGTAAATCATCTAACTTTTAAATCCGCGACAATTTTTTTATATGATCAAATGACTATGGCAGTAACAACTGCTGGACGATAACTTATAATTAGTGTCTTTATTTTGTTATTAATTCATGTTATACATACCACCAAAATAGATTTTCAAAAAACCCCTATTTTATCTCCATTAGAATAAATTAAAATTTTTTATATACAAGAACAAATCTAATTTAAGTAGTCATATTTCTTATAATTTTGTCTATTCAAAAAAAAATTAAAAAATTTTTGTCTTTTAAATAAAATAGATCAAAAACAATTTCATCTTCAAATTTCAATTTTAGGTTTTAGACCCCAAAATAATTTCATTAATATGTATAATCTATGCTAAAAAAAATAAAGTATATATGTATTATATAAGTACTGCCAAGAGAAAAGGAAACATCTAGCATTATACTATAAAATTTTTTCAAAACTTTAATCAAAGATATCTTAACAGCCACTTGATCAAATTTAATAAATTTTTTTTTATTTGAATTCTACAGGTTTGTAGAATCCATATAAAAAAAAATTATTAAATTTGATTAAGTGGTTGTTAAGTATCTTTGATTAAATTTTTGAAAAATTTTATAGTATAATTCCGAATGTTCCCTTTTCCCTTTGCAACACTCATATTATAATAATATATGACTTAATGATCCTGTAAAACTGTCTTTTATTTTGGCCTAGGTCAAGGCTAAATAGAGATTGCTTAATAATCAGTTTGAATAAGTGATAAAAACTTGACTAGCTTTAATAATCAATAGCCAGCATTAAATTTTATGTAGTGCTACCTTAATGTATAATTACTTCACATTAACAATTTTACAATAACTAGGGCCCTATTTTTAAGAATGAGACTTAAAAAGGCTATAAGAGCAATGAGTATAACATTCTTTATTAGTAGTTTTATCAAAATTTATATGTTGTATGAACTCAAAATCTTTGCTATCTTCCAAGATTATCAGATCTAAACCTACCTTAAGCAATTGTTGAATCTAAGTAGGGTTAATTTCACCAGAAAAATGGCAAAATAGATTCAGTATTTGGACCTTATAACTGAAATGGGTTGCTTAGTTAAGTGTGATCTGACATTATATAAGAGTAATATAATTACTAAGCTTGTAATTTTTTTTCTGGCAGGTTCTCTAGATCTAACAAATATAAGCATGTTTTCGCCCTAAGATAAGTTAGCAATAATGTTATTTTTTTGTTCATATATTTGTTTTTACTTGATTTACTTGCCAGTATTTTTTAAGTAATTTGCTGTTTCATTTAACGGAGACTATGAAAACGAATTTTTACTTTGATTTTTTGTATTCAGAAACGAAAAATGAGCACTAATGATTAATGATACTACCACTCCTACAACTAATGATACTACTGTCCCTATGAATTCAGGTGTAACATGAAAATTATGCTTTTTTTTTTTTTTTTTTTTTTTTACAAAATTGTCAATAACTCGAAATTTTGTTTATAAAACTGCTTTCTGTGTTCTAACAAAAAAATTCCTTGCGAAATTTTGGCATAATCTATGTCTATTACTTAACCTTAATCCTAACTCTAAGATGATATTTATTGCATTAAATCTTTTGCTTATTCAATTGTTTTGCTTTCGCGTATTTATTTTATGTTACACCTGATCTTTTGATTTAATTGGCTTAAAATCATGTGTCGGAAAAATTTTGTGGATGAGCTACTAGATATGCCTAACGACTAATAACACCACCACCCTCAATACTAACTATCCTAATAACCTAATGCTAACAAACCAAAATCTGTGAAAATTACCGAAACTTGTGAGAAAACTTTGTACTGTGTAATTATGCTTATGAAGCAATATTGTTACAATTAAGTCTTTTTTATTCTTTTAAAATTAAATAAATACGAAGTAGAACAAGATGGAACAAAGATAACTGGAATTAAAATTTTGAAATCAAATCTAATCAAAAAATAAATATATTTTTTTTTATTGGTATATTGTTTGCCAGGACAACAATTTTTATGAAATAAAGAGGGTCCTGACACGATGTGTCATTTTTAAAAATGCGATTTTGATTTCAGAAAAATATTGACATGCGTTATGAGTTACCAATTGCACAAACATGAACATTATTTAATTTTGTTTTTGTGTTTCAGAGTTTTGCCACGGCTCTGCCAACAAGTAAATACTGTAAATAATACATCGCATTATCTTATTGTGATCTCAGTAAACGAGCTCTAGAATTTAAGATCAAGATTATCATTACCCAATATACTCTGAGGATCACACATGTTCTTTATTATTTTATGATTTTTATTAATTGTGGTTGAACAGTACTTTACTATAGCACGACTTATCCAGAATTTACTTGCTGTTATCATTATCGGTTTTTAATAAAACTTGATACAAGTCATACAATCGGGCATGTGATTTGTAAGACATAAAAGATACATAGATAATGAAATTTTCTTCTCGAGGTAGAAAAAGCAAAAATCACCATTCATAAAAGGATCAAGATCTCAAATTTTTCATTAATCATGTTCGACCTATTATCAAAGCATAGTCTAAAATCTAAATCGTTAGACAAGTGTTTAATATATATTCTGCAATTTATATATTTTTTGCTTTGGAATAAAAAATCATATTTCTGTAGAAGTATAAGAAATGTAACTTTATTAGTCCAGAGTAAAGCAGAGAATTCTCTATTTCTACGTAAAGTGTGATCTGTGATATTTTTCTGTCCGTTTGCCCATGTGATTATAAACTAATCATATTTTACTGATCGATAAAAATCCATATATTCATGCTCTAGACTTATACTGGTTCCTGGTTCCTAGTTATATTGATATTTTTTTGCATTACTTTTGCATGTCAATAATAGTTGTAATCTAGTTGTAATCACGTTCACAGATTTTGATTATATCATAGGCGCAGTAACAAATAAAAAAAATTTTCACTGAGATTTACCGTATAAAGATATCTATTTTTATTCTAAAAAAGTAGTTAGAAATTGTTATAAAAAAATAATAAAATTGAGCAATTAGGAGTAACCAACAGAATAAGTAGCTTTATTTATCCTCAGTTAAGCCAACGAGTCCGGAAGAAACTACACCCCTCCAAATATAGTAACTACATTTTTTCAGAATGTTTGTAATTACATGATCACAATTATATTTCCATGCAAATGCTGATTTAATCCTACCCTTGGAGCAATCAGCCCCCAGACTGAGATGTACAACCACACCAACTAAGAGTCGACATGACGTGTGAGAACTTATTCTCCCTGTCATACTGCCAACTGCATAAAGACATCACACATACACACCTCTTATTTTTATTCTCCTTGATTCTTCATCTTCAAATTCTATAGATACAAAAATAGTCAAAGCTGTTAGCGTATTATATAGTAATATGGATCTATCACGTAATAAAAAATTCAAAAAATTCAAAATTCAATACTTACAACATCAAACATTAAATTTGTAAATTGAATAAACTTATGGAGTTGAATTCTTCTTTCTTCTATCCTTACCATGTTTAAGAACTTTGTCATGCACTCATTTTCGTCCATAGCTAATTTTAATATCTTTTTCTTGTCGTCCTTCTCAGTTTCTTTTAACTCTCCAAGAATGTCAAGTGTAAGATCTGTTATTTCCCCAAAATTCGAATCATCAGCCTTCTTTTTCTGTGGTGTATCAATATTCTCTATATTATCAAGTGTTTTATCCAACTTTCATTTTTGTAATGGGTCAACATTCTCTTTGTCACTGGCCAATTTTATTTCTTATAAAGCTTTATTAACCCATCTTTTAGTTATTTCTCTATCAACATTTTCCTTTTTAGCAGATACATCTTCATAATTACCACCTAGTATCAAAAAAAATCAGTTTATATCTCTCTGTAAAATCAAATTGTTGTCACATAGTCAACTTATCAAGACAAATAATAACTTTGCACGCTAATATTCTGACATGCTGAAGCATATGATCGCTTCAGCAACCTTTTATTAATCACGATCCCATGTACCAATTTATTTCTTATGTTCATTTTAAAATTAGTTAGCAATTCAACAGGGTTGGCTTTAAATCGGCCGTGGAATACAGATTTTTTTAAGAAAATATTAATATTTTCTATTAAAAAATTTAGTATGCACAGAAGATCTGCATTATTAAAATCTGTGCTAACAGGAGAATGCTGTTTAGTCACAAATCTTTCGACAACCTCTAGAGGAATGACTGATTTATTTTTAACCAGAAATTCATAAATTGCTTTTTCAGCAAGATTAACAAAAGGCTCTATTACTGCTCCCTGTTCATTTTTGGTAAAGGAAAAGTTTTGTTGTACTTCTGGAGAAGATTCACGAGTGGTTCTAATATTGTAGTTGTTGACAGTTTCACAAGGTCTATACACTGTAGATAAATAAAGTCATGTTTTTTTAAATATTGTAGTTCCTTTAGGCAAGTTAGAGGAGGTAGAAGAGGAGGATAATTTTTCATCCTCAAACTAGCCAAATATCATAGTATGGGCTTGAAACTTTTTACAGAAGTCCGGATCTTTATACAAGATATCATGGAGCAAATCACAGAGTGATTTGTGGAAAGTATCCAGAGAACAGACGTTGTATATATATATGCCACCAAAATAGGTTTTCAAAAAACCTTTATTTCGTCTCCATTAGAGCAATTTGAAATTTTTTATATGCAATAGCAAATCTAATTTAGGTAGTTATGTTCATAATTTTGTTTCTTCAAAAAAGTGTCAAAAAATTTCGTCTTTTAAGTAAAGTAGATCAAAAACAATTTCGTCTTCAAATTTTAATTTTGTACCCTAAAACCTAAAATAATTTCGTCGGCATGTATAGTTGTATAATGCATTTAAAGTGGTGCTTAAAGTTTTCTTTATGCTCCTTTCGATTATACCGGAACACAACCACTTGGAAAGCTTGCTTGGTTTAGCTATATTACAGTATTAGCTTATGCAAAAAACAAAAGAAACGACGTGTAAAATTTGGAGATTTGTGTATTTACCGATTATTCGAGGTAGGAACGGGTAACGTCTAAAGCAGGACAAATTCACATAGCCTTATATTTAATAATTTTCTTAATTAACTTAGTTTAGGGTCATCTTATATTAAGAATAGGGTGTCAACATTTCCGAATTCATATAAAATAGATTGTAGATCAATATTGTATAACTAATATCATATGATATCATATATGATTCGACCAATCAAAATTAGCAATTTTTTGTACCACCTAGGAAAAACATATAGCAACCTGGGTAAACTTCGATTATATGTGAAGTTAAATTTTTTTAAAGCAATGCATATTGTGCAACTTCACTATCATAAACAAACTGTTTTAAACAATATACAGTACATCCTCTCAAATCTGATAGGCATGGTGAACAGCTTTTGTATTGGTTTTGAGAGGTTATCAGGTTTAAGATACTAATGGCTCACTGGTCGCATAATTATAAATAAATATAATTGGCTAGATTATATTTATTATATATCTACTTGGTTATACAAAGCTCAATTTCAGCTAATCAAATTGATTTATAATATCCAACAAACCTGATATCTTATAGATATCTGATCTTTTGAGTATTGGTTATCAGAAATAGCAGGTTATCAGGTTTAAATTATAGAACAGACATGGTGGATCAATTTTTTATCAGAAATAACAGGTTATCGGTTTTGACAGAATTAGTTTTGGGAGGGTCTACTGTATTATATAAATTTGATATATATTAATTCATGATCCGCCTAAGAACCAGTGACAAAACATAGTAAACAGTGGAGATATGTTTACTATATATTTTTTAT